TTTGCATTACACAAAATAATATTTATATATAGAATGGACAAGAAATTTTTAAATAAATTATTTATAAGAATCATGTGAAACAATTCATATTAATTTTTTTATTATACAATAATTTTCTTTAGCTTCAGCTGGCCGTATGTTATTAAATTTCCATTTGGGAGGGGAGGAGAATCCCGTATTCCCACGTTGCAGGAAAATAAAGAGTTATGCTCGTGTTTCTCAACGTCAGAAAATTTGCAAAGTTCATCCATATTAAACTTATTTTAAGACGCGCGAAGTTTTTTTTATTAATTAATTAATTTTACTCAAATTTATTTGTTACATGGTCCAATCAAAATAAGTATGTTGACCTGCATATAATGTAGTCCGCAAAATCTTGAATGTGATTGGTCAGCGTGATTGTATTTGTCATGTCCTGCGTATTTTTCACATGCGTTTCTTCACGTATAATAATTAACTTCTTGACAAAAGCAAGCGGAAAGGAGTCCTTGGCGTAACAAAATCTTCCTAGATCAAAGGATTTACAAAAAACAGAAATTTGCGTAACGAAACGAAATGTGCGGGTCGTTTGTGATGTAGTATTTACACGAACTAGCTTTCAAGTTGTACTAACTTCTTTTTGGTGAACTTGGCATAATGAATTCTTCTAGATCAAAGGACTTGCAAGAAATAGAAATTAATACAACGGAACGTAGAGGATCTAGTTCCCTTCTCAACTTTGTAAGAGGGAAAAATAATTGAAGGTCTGTCAGTGGGAATTTTTTACAATACGAATATTAGTAGGGCTGAAGGAATAAGAAATTAACGTAACATAAAAAATCCAGTTCATAAAAATTTCATTAATTGTTATCAAGAAAATATTCACTTATTGCCTATAAACTCAATCTCATGCTTACGACCAAGAAACCCAAAATGAGTAACGTTTGATAGTTATTTTTTTGAATTCAACAGTAAAATGATCGATAATAATGCCTTAGAAATTTGCGCGGTGGGCAAATTTATTGTCGATCATTTTATTTTTGATAATAAAAAAATCCAAAATAATTATCAAAAGTTGCTCATATTAAAGTTCATTATTTATTAATAAAACAACAAATATATTACTAAATAGTCTTATAGTTATGAATGTTTCCAAGCATCTTTTTCTTTAAAATGACTTGGAAAGGAGTTTCTAAAAAAAAGATTTATCTCAGTCTGGGCATTTTTTTTCAGAAATTTCTTTGACTTTTTTTTTTGGTGCTGGAACAATTGAGGGATAGGAAGAGCACTAACTCAGAAAAGTTTTAGCATCACTTGTAAAGTCTTTAGAATTTTTACTCGCGAATTAAATTTAATATCAACAGCTGTACACTGGACCTTCAAAAACTATTCTTTGGAATTTGATCACCAATTATTTGCTCAATTTTAATTAAATATGTCTGAATACTTTACATAAGATGCTATATATTCTCAGCTTTCATGTTAATTAATGTCCTTTTTACTACTTTAATAAATAAAAAACTTTTATATGCAGAAATTTTTGATAATTGATTTCAGATTTTTTTTTATTTTTTTTAAATTTTTAATAAATTTTAGCTATTTTTATTAATGCCTAAGTAAAGTCAAAATTTTCACTAGACACTACGAAATGAAGCTCTAATAAAATTTGTAGAAATTATTTCTGGCTACAATTTCTTATAAGATAGTTGGCTTCTACCTTTAATATCTATTGAATCTTGTATAGGTATTTTTCAAAGATTAAATTTTATATTTTTTACCAATTTTATTTAAAGTGAATTACTCCTATGTAAGCATTCAATTTTGATACAAAATATATCATATAATTTCTTTAATTTAGGGAAATCTAATAAAAAAAAGTTTGTTGAATTTAGATCACTTGTTGTATTACAATTAGCATTTTAAATTTAATAGATTTTTATTAATTTCTAGTTGCCCAGTGACTTTTAATTGATTTTTGGTAGCTTGTAAATCCAAACTGGCATAATACATCAAAGATTTTTTTAATATGTATACCTATTTCCTGGAAAAGTAATCATACCTGTATTACTATTTGATATATTTGTGTTCCATTTGATTGAAGATTTAAGTAAATTAAATAAATTAAGTGTAAGGTCATGAGAGCTCCCTTTTAAAGGAGAAAATATCTGTGGCGAAGTAAATTGGTAAGCATGCAGATTATCATGAGGGGTGATAAGCAGTAATACTAAGATAATTATATGAGGATAATAACTTGTGTGGTTATCTGAAAGATAACACATGAAGATGAAGTATGAAGTACAAAGGATAACAGGTAAAATTTGAATGAAGATGAAAAAGTATAAAAGAAGTGGTCATTAGAAACAGGAAACAGTAGCTTTAGTAATTTCTTAGACTTCAGTTAATTAATAATTACAGATAGCTTCAAACATAACATCAAGAATTAAATAAAAATGGTTTACAACATTATATAAATGCTGTATTATAGTGTTATTCAAATGGCACTAATATACTAGAATGCAATGTTCTAGTGCATTATTTGAGCATTTCATATTTATAACATACTAGAACACAATGTCTAGTGTATTATTTGAACATTTTGTACTTATAATATACTAGAACACAATGTTTTAGTGCATTATTTGAATGTTTTGTACTTATAGTATACTAGAACACAACATTCTAGTGTCTTATTTGAATGTTTTATATTTATAGATACTAAAATGCAACATTCTAATGCATTATTTGAAAGTTTCATACTTATAGCATACTAGAATGCCTCTATATAATTCCTGACAGTAATATTTTTAAATAGAAAAGTAAACTTCCTTTAGTGATGGTAAAACAGACATATAACCCATCATATTACTATCATTAAATAATGCTTCACTTTTAAATTTGAACCTTTTATATTTTAATAAACTTATCTTTTGTGTCATGATATTGTAAACATTGTTAAATATTATTTGATACTGTGTTAATATTATACTTACATGCAAAATTATTCTGGAGCCCCTAAATTGTAATTTCAGAAAATAGTTTTTCATAGAAGACAAAAATATTTTACTTAAAACCTGAACTTTTTTAACTAGCCAAATAAATTCTTTGATTAAAGATACACCTAACTAGGTATTTTTTTACTTCCATAAATAGAATAGTTTCTGAGTAAATCTCAAAAAGACAAAATACTTCCAAAAATCAAAAGTTAATTTTGGGAACATGTATAGTTAACATTTTTACTTCACCTTATTCATTGAGCCTTCAGATTAAAAATAAAGAATTAAAAAGAATTATATTATATTTATTATCTACTTCAAGATAGGCAAGTTTAGATTGACAGATTGCTTGACCTACTGGCAGATAGATATATTAAAAAAAAATTTGTTTGTGAGAGACAAACTCTGAGACTAACAGGTGAAAGTGTTCAAAACACTCTACACATTTGTGACAGTATAACTAAGATAATAATCTCTACTATTAGTAAATTGCTTGTTGTCATCTTTAAAAGACTTTTGATTGGTAAGTTTCAGATTCTGTGATACCACTTTTATTGGTCCTATCAGTTATGAGGTTTATTTAAATTTTGTAACATGATTTTGTAACAATTACATTCTTTGAGATAATAATTGTGTTTAACATCTTTTCAAGTAGTAAAAAGTAACAAAGCCTCTAGAAAAGCTTTGGAAAACTTCAGCATAGTAAAAATTTTTCAGATCAAAGAATTTATGAAATATTATATTACTTGAAAAAGATAAAAGATGATCTTCTGTTACTGAGTAGAAAAGCTTTGACATAATAAAATTTTCCCAGTAACATTGTGAAAATTGAAAAATATTCACTCTCAACTTAATGAGAAGAATAAAGAGTTCACACATTTACTCAAAAAAATTTTCCAGTTATATCATTTGACTTTTAATAAAATTTATATGTTGAAAAAAATATAATGGCAGTTTTTTTACTTTTAATATTTGTAGGAAAAAAAAATTCTTTGAGCAATTAATTAAAACTGTTCAGAAGGTATGAAAGTACTTGAATACTGTATTTGTTTTTGCTAAGCTGACTTACAAATAGATTGAAAGATTATTTTTCTTTAATTACAAATGCTCACAAATTTTTTATACTTCCAGAACTTTGTAACATAATTTTAACACATCAGTTAAAGTAAACTGTTTTTGAGCGACTAATTAAAACTGTTCAGAAGGTATGAAAGTAATTGAATATTTGTTTCCATTAAGCTGGCTTACGAAATGATTGAAGGGTAATTATAGGCATCTCTGGTCAGATATATATTTTTTATATATCTCTGGTATTTTAGCCAATAAAAATGTATTTTTATCATGTTGTTATACACATGACCCTATTAGTAAAAAGTCAGTAAATCGACTTGGTTTGTCAATTGGCATCATCACGTGACAATATCGAACAATAATAATTAACATTTTTCGAACGTTTTGAATTAATTAAAATTTGATACTTTGATCATCATAATTATCACGATATCATAAGGAATATGATGATCATGATGATGATAATGATCATGATATCATGATTCTCAAGTTTAAAATATTTATTTAATTGTATTATCCTAACAAAGACTTGAGTTGATTAAAGAAAAAAATACAAGATATGAAACAGAAATAAAAGATGCCGAAAGGTAATTTATTTGTAATATCTGCCTTAACTTGCATGGCCAAAGACATAAATAAATCATAAAGAAAATCATAAGCGCTAAAAATGTTTTTATTTACATATAATAATGTGTATTGTCCATGATAATCTATAAGTTCGTATATTATAAGCAAAAACGAAGTTAGTAAAACATACAATCCTAACACCAACATAAATATTTCATAAAATTTACCTCATGTATCACTAATACGAGCATACTTTCGTGAATTAATATTCTTATTTTGATTTTGAATTGGGCTCCTTTTGGAATTTTTCTTTGGTCGACTTCGCTTTCTTTTTACAGCAGTTACAGATGGCACATTTTCTTTTTCGCTTCTGATTCTTCTTTTCTTTGGTCATCCAACTGCCTTGCTCTTGATAGAGTTGTTAATTATTGGACATTCCAAGGAAGGTTGTGGTATGCTGGTTAAGACAGGAATGTCATCAGCAACAATATATAGAGACTTCAAATACGTCTCAAGGTATACCATAAAGTCTGCACATTTATCGGGGTCCGTTGAAATCTTGTTTGCGATTTCCCTTGATAGTTGATAGATACGCATATACTGGAATTGAGAGTCATTTTCACTGGACGATTCTTGCGGCGATGGAGTTCCTGGGACTTGTGAGCTGCTGTAAAAGTTGATATAATCTTTTACAAGTTCCAATTCAGGTGGATCTTTTTGCCAACATTTTGGAAAGTGAATGGAATCGAGTTGAGGAAGCGAAAGATGAATTGCGACTGCAAGGGAATGGTGACAAATTATTCCAACAAACTTAAGGTTGTGATAGCAGCAAGTAAATATATGGCCATCATAGCACACCCAACGTATAACGTCAGGTCTCTCATAATGCGATAATTCAAAATGACGTACTTCATCATTATTTATTGTTTCCTTGCATGCATATACTTCTTTAATGATTCATTCAGTCACAAATTTCTTCCATGCATACCGTGTTAGACAATTAGCGACTTGATTTTTGATAGGATTTTGTGAAGTCGAACAGGTGGAGTAAACAAGTTCCTTGTATACTGAAATCTGCTCAGCCTCCTCACGAGCATCAAGAGCCTGTTCAAATGCTGCTAAAAACTCTGTAAGCGTAGATTTACTATCAAGGAAACCCTTTAATAATTTGTTCATTGATTTCCTCCTTTGTGTTGATGACATATCAGCGAAGAAATAGTCTTTGAGGTATGCTAGAGCCCACTGTTCATGCCACTTGCTAAGAGCATCCAAGTATGATCTCGCTTGAGCATATTCGTCATTTACCATTATACTACTCCATTGCTCTTCAAACTCATATTTATTGATACAATGATTAAGGCACTTAACAAGATCCATGTGAAATCTGAATATTTTGATCCAAGCTTGGAGGTCATATTGGACTTGATATTCTTAAGCATATGCCATATACAAAGGCCGTTGTTATCATAAATTTCCTCCACTTTCATAATTTCTTATTATTTTATTTTATCTTATTCTTATTTGTATTTATTTTATTAGTATAGTTAT